TTTGTTTGTTGTATTTGGAAATGGTTTTCTTCTCTTTTTGGTTGTAGGTGGAACCCTTGTTCCAGTTCGGATGGACTGTTCAGCCCTTCTGTTTTGAGAAGCACAAAAAAAAGATGTAGGATTTTGTGGAGATGTACAAGGGCAACAGTATGTTGGATGGTATGGGTAGAAAGAAACACAAGAATCTTYGAGAAGAAGAGAAGCTTGGAGATGCTAATTGATTGTATTACTCTTAAAGTTGCCCATTGGGTGAAAACCTTGAAACTTTTTTCATACTTTAGAGTGGAAGATTTTTTTTCTGGAATTGGGGGCAATTGTTGGATCTTCCTCTAGGAAACAAAAATCCCTAGAGTTTTGGTCACCCCCAATGGTTGGTTGGAAGAAGTTGAACTTTGATGGTAGTAGTATGGGTAACCCAGGTCCCTCAAGTATTGGAGGGGTTGTTAGGGATGAAGGAGGCATTATTAGTGTTTTATTTTCAGCCCCAATCAAGCAAGGTGATTCAGTGAAAACAGAATTTTTGGCAGTAGTTACAGGGTAGAGAAGGCCAAAGAATTGGGAATTGACAAATTAATTATTGAAGGGGATTCGAAGGTAGTTGTGGAATGGCTGAAAAGAGGAGAAGGGTGACTTAGCATCAAATGAATGATTTCCAAAGATTTTTGTGTCTATCAAAAGACATGAACATCCAAGTATGTTGGGTTAGAAGATCTGCAAACAGCTTGGCAAACAATTTAGCTAAGCAAGGCTTTCAAAGACAATTTTATGTATTGGGCACAATTGTAATATGGGTTGGGTGGCTTGCCTTGTATTGGGCATGCTTGTTGTTCACAACTCCTTTTTGTATCTATTTCCTTTAATCATTAATAAAATTCTTCTTTGTGGATGTTGATCAAAAAAAAAAAAAAAAGAAAGAAAGAAAAGAAAAGTAATTCAGGAATAGACCATATGGTTCTTTCTTTGAGCATAGCTCTCTTTTTATACCTAAGCATATAGGATAGAAAATGTACAGAAAGGAATTGGGCCCTGTACAGTGCCTTGCTGTGCAGGGTGTTATAATCTTGCTTTTTGATGTGAGTAATATAATACTTTACCTTTCTTTCTCAAAAAAAAAAAGAGAGAGGAAATTTTATAATGTATTAGTTATAATACTTTCCAAGATTCAAGAAAACATGATTGTTTAATGGACTATAAATAAAACAAACAATTTAAACTCAAAAATCTCTCTTAATATCTCTTTTAACCCAAGAATATCTCTTCAATTTTCTCTTACTAAATGCACGTGATAGAAAGCATCTCCATTCACATATTCACATGGCAAATGATAGTGGACCCCATAGTTTTCAAGGCGTCTAGGCGATTCTGGGCGACACTGGGGTGCCTAGTCGCCTAGTCGCCTAGTCGCCTAGGCGCCCTTTATAATATGAAAAAACTGGCTTTTGGCTAGTTTCCTAGTTTTATATACCATTCAGCATGTATGTTAATTGAAAATAGCAATGCTCTTTATTAAGAACATTAAATTTCCTCTAAAAATGTGGCAAATCATCACATCTAAAAGATAAAAATCTTTTACATATATTAATTTCATCATCTTCAAAAATAATACTACTATATTAAGTATTTAATAGAGCAAATTCATATTAATTAGCAGCTAAAGAAGGTTATTAACTTTATATGATAAATATTCAAGATGGAAAGTAAAATAGAAAAAAAAACAAGGATGGAATTTCTGTTTTATTTAGTTAGAGAGAGAATAGAAAAAAAAAAGAACTTTACTATTCTATTGTTTCTTTCCCCTTTCTTTTCTTTTCTTTCTTTCTTTCTTTTTCTCTTCTCAAAACCCTTTGATCTTTTAAATTTCAATAGTAAAACATTAAAACAAAATATAATTGATATATATAGTATATAATAAAATGTATTAACACATACATTAATAAGATACAGCAATATAAATGATATTATAAAAGGCGCCCGCCTTGTCATTTTTGTCGCCTACGTGGGCGCTTAACCACCTAGAAGGGCACCAAGTTGCTAAAAGTCAAGGCGTTTGGGCAAGGCACCCAGCCAAGGGCGCCTAGGTGACGCCTTGACAACTATGATGACCCACTAATTTACAAAAAATAATAGTTATGATTTTTCTTTAATAAAAATAAATAAAACAAAAATATCAATATAATAAAAATGAACAAATTTGTCAAATAATTTTTATCCATTCCCAATTACTTACAAGCCATTTAGTTCTAATAAATAACTTGTATTTGATGAAAAATATTTACTAGCATTTCTTTCTGATGCCCTAATCTAACTACAATCGATCAAAATACCCTTGTATATACATTGTATGGATAAATTTTGTGTGTGTATATTAGATCAAAAATATATATAAAGAAATTATAAATAAATTTAGCTTATTGTATAGAAATAAATAAACTAGGAAATATGAAAATTAAGTAATTGGATTATTTTATTTGGGCAAGGAAGGTGATAAAATGGAAACAAACTAAAAAGTAAAATTTCAAAAGCATAGGATTAATAGTAAAACAAATATATATGGAAATAAATATAAAAAATTGTTATGAAATAAATATGTAATACAAGATATGTAAAACAAAATAAAAATATGTAAAAGAAAGTTTGTAATAAAAAAGACATTGGGTTCCATATTAAGTAAATGTAATAAAAAGAAAATATGTAAATTGACTACAAAAGAAATAAACTGCAGTGAGCCACTTTCAGCCTGGCATACATAAAAGATTATATTTAATATATTTACATAAACATATACATACATGCATACATTCGTATATACATAAATACATGTCTTTTTTGGACCCCAAACTTTACTCCCAGTGGAGGGGCAGCCACTATTAAATTTTATTATTAAATCATATCAAAATACCTACATAAAACCTTACTCCTCTCGGCCTCTCAAGAATCTATACAAGAAGGTTAAAGCAAGTGGCTTCTAGTTCAATGCATAAGGTTAAAGCAAGGATGGTTTGGACACCTCCCATTGAATGATTTCTTAAGCTAAACTTTGATGGGAGTAGTCAAGGCAACCCAGGGTTATACACTGGCTACAAACTTTGGAACTATTCAAACACTTCACCTTTGATGATATTTGGAGGAATTGACATTTAGTGGCTTCTAGTTCAATGCATAAAGGTTAAAGCAAGGATGGTTTGGACACCTCCCATTGAAGGATTCCTAAAGCTAAACTTCGATGGTAGTAGTCAAGGAAACCCAGGCCCAGCTGGAATAGGAGGGGCCATCAAAGACAAGGAAGGAAACTTAAGAGCACTCTTTTCAAGACCAATGGGGAATGGAGAGTCCTTAAAGGCAGAACTTAGGGGTGATTATTCTTGGCCGGCCTAGACCAGCCCGCAAATTTCTAGGCTTGGGCCCAGGTTTTTGTGTGCAAGCCCAGCCCGGCCCAGGCCCGCATGAAGCTTAAAAAATTATGGGTTGGGCTTGGGCCTAACACTTCAAGCCCAGCCCGCAATATAACATAATATATATTTTAAATATACATTATATAATATATACATATATGTCTTACATTATATTATAACAGTGTTTTAAAAGGCGTTGGAGGCGTATGCCTCCAAGCAAGGCGCTCCCAAAATGCCCTGAGGCGTATGCTAGAGGTGTTGASACCTCTGAGGCATATGCCTCATGTGCAAGAAGCATACACCTCTTGCGCTTTTTTCATGAGGCGTGCTAGAGGCGTACACCTCATGCGCCTCATGCACATCTGATATAAAAAGACAAAAAGAAAAGAAAAAAGAAAAGAAAAAAGAAAAAAAAGGAAAGGAAAGGAAAAGAAAGGGAAGGGAAAGAAAAAGGAAGAGAAGAAAAAAAGAGAAAAGGAAAGGGAAGGGAAGAAAGATAAGGGGAAAGAAAGTGGTTTGCCCCTGCCCCTTCGGCTGTGGGGGGGGTGTCTTGCTGCACTCCACCCCCCTCCCCCCGCCCCCTTTTCGATGCAGCCCAATTTGTTCGCTCTCTCGCCTCCGCTTTGACAAGACCCCCCCTTTCAACTAATATAAAAGATTTTTATTAAAAATAAAGAAAAAATAAGATCCCCCCTTCCTCTTCATCCTCCTCCTAACCCCCCTTCTCTTAAGGAGGCTTACGCCTCTTGCGTTCTGAACTACGCCTCATGCCTCTAGGTAGTGGAACGCCTCATGTCACACCTCCGCATTTTAAAACACTGCATTATATTATATGTTATATAAATACAAGTATATTTTGTTTTATACTAAATGTTTATTATTTTATATAAGATATAAAAGTTTTAAGTTTTAACATATAAATAAGGGAAAATTCAACTTTAGTACCCTGAACTTTGGGGATAGTGTCAAGTTAGCACCCAAACTTTCAAACTTGTCACTGCAGTACCTTAACTTCCAAAGAGTGTCAAGTTGGTCCCTGCCATTAACCAACCGTCAGTTATCTGTTGAAAATGTCAAAACTACGATTTGTAAGTAATGAAATTTTCATTTTACTAATTTAAAAAAAAAAAAAACATGTCCAAAATCTTGTTGAATATGCTTATTCTATCATTTTGTTAGTAATTTTCACTGTTCTTAAGGTCCACAGGTTGCTAAAGTTCACCAATAATCATCCTGTCACTGCATACTATTCTGCAAATGCAGTAGCATATGATCAAAGAAAGTATTAAGCAATCACGGCATGAGATGTCATGCTCAATAATAGTTCTTACTACTTTAAAGTGATTTGAATGAGATTTAGTACACTAATTGTCAAGCAAATGCATGATACAGATCCCTGTTCAAAGAATTCTGTTTTTGCTTTGGAGTTGTATGCTTTGACATCACAGATAAAGATGCAAAAAGGATGGAAACTTTTTCATTCTCATCAACATATAGAAAGTGGAAACAGTGAAAAAAATGATATGATTATTCATAAAAGTCTTGTTCTTACTAAAATATTTATACTGGAAGCGAGGACAAAAAAGAAGTAATTATGAATAATATCTTTTAAAGCATGAAATACAGGTCACAACAGTAACAAAGTGGGGGATAGGAGTCATATATTGAAACTGCAAGAGAAACATCAAGCAGGAAAGAAATGCAGCAACAATGATCAGATTTTATAAAAACAAGACAGATTCCTAGTTAACCATCAAAACTAAACAGAGTCGGTATCAAGAGTAGAGCATATAAACTCAGAACCAATCCATAATCGGAAGGGAAGGATCATAGTGGAAAACCAAACTAGACTTCTTTTCGATAGGTAAAATCAAACTGGAACTAATGCCGAGACTCGGTAAAGTACAATACTACTCTGAAATAAAGCGACAAGAAAGAGTATAAAGAAATACGAAAAAACATGTAAATAGTCAAACCCAACTAACTCCAAAAGCAGAAACCCGGATCAACTATTGAACAAAAGAGAATCGAATCCAGCTCAAAAACCAAATTAATAACAGAAGCACCAAACCCAAGTCCAGCAACATATCGCTAATGCATCAACATCAAACTAGAAAAGTAGTCATCCATCAAAGAATTAACATAGCAATAAAAAACCTTTACCCCAAATTAGGAAATTGGATCCACAAGCGACATAGACACTGCAGTCACAACATCATCAACAGAAACCCACTTCCATAAGTAACTAAGACATGTTGGTTCAAAATTTCCGCTCAGAGTTGCACATGATCACTTAAAACTAAAAATGCTAACATTAAAAAAAATAAGAATAAGAAATGCTTACCTTGTTCCAGGATCAACCTCCTTCAAGAGTAAATTATTCGGCACCACGACCTCTGAGACGGGTGTCTTCATTGCCTTCTTCCGATTCTCCAAACACTCTTCGGTTGCTAGAAAAGCAACTATATCAAGAGAATTAATTATACCGACAAACCTCTGTTGCCTCACCTCTGCACTCTCCACCACACTTTTCTCGTTCCTGCTCTTCCACACAGGAATCCCACATTCTGTACAGTCACCGATCGCCCGAATAGCCGACTCGATGGCCTCCGTCTCCAGAAACTCAACCAGCTCTGGCTTTCCGACTGTCAGGTCATCGACGACATGGTGCAGAAACACCGACGCCATGCAAAAGGAAACCCGCCTGGTTTGGAGCTATAAGAGGGAATGCAGGAAGATAAGCAGTAGTCGGAAACTGCCGATGGTATATGGAGGTTGACAAAATCGCCTAGGGGCGCTTGGACGGCCCAGAAAACTGGCAATGAGACACGACTAAGAAAACCAGCCATGGGGTTAGAGAGAGAGAGATAGAGAAGCACGGAAAAGCTCCCCAGTTTTTCTGGTGGGTAACGGGAAATTCTGAGGGAGAAGCAAACGGGCTTTGGTACATTTGTACGCGGGGGGTGATCATGATTCATGGACCGGTGTTTGGGTCACTGACCAAGGTGGGAAAATAAATAATAACGTAACTTACAACAACCTCCCCTATATTAGAGGATCAGTGATAAAGACCCCCTATATTATATAGCATCAGTGACAAATACCCCTTATGCTTTGAATTGCGACAAAGGGTCAAACTTCAAAGACCCTGAACTTTTACGTTCGACTTGCGACAAATACCTCCTCAATCGTTAAGTTAGATAACGAAAGAGGTTAAATTACCAAAATATATCACTAAGCTTTCTTATTTTTCTTTTTCTTGTTATTCTCCCTTTAAAACCTAATTGACCCAAAACTTTCTGTTTACCACAAACACCGCCGCGCACCTCCTCCTCTTCCACCTTCACGGCGACCGGAATGCAACAATTAGAACAGAAGAATGGCAAAATAGGGTCAATGACAAAGACAGATCAGAAATTGCAAGAAGATGAGTCGATGTCATCGACATGGAAGGTCCCTGACGACACAAGGCCACTAATTGACGCACTCGGAAAGGATTAAAACCAACTGTAGCCACTAATTAACGCATAATCGAACATTCAAACCTAAAAGAACTTCCATCCCCAGTAAAAACAAAAATGTAAAGTCGTTCATTCATGAACAAAGTTAAAAAGAATTCGAATTTTCACTTCAAACAAACCGTAGTCAGCATACATGTAATCCCAAAACAGCGGAAGAATCCACTGAATCAGCATATAGAATTTTATCAAAGCTTCAAAAACACATTAAAATCGTAGACTACCCAATCTACATGACTCCAAATTAACGTTGCAATAAATTAACGACCAAAATCGAAATTGTTGGTGTTCAAGATGGGCTGAGGAAAACACATTAAATTTACCTGGTCTCCCGGACGAGGTGGGTAAGAGGATCTGTGAACTGTTGAGGGCGAGGACCTATTAAGCCCGAGGTGCATTGTGGCCAAGCGATRGTGAAGTCTGGCCAAGGACCAATGGGTTCCGAGGACGGCCCAGGCCATAGGCCGGTGGAGGCTGAGGGCTAGTGAGATCCGAGAAGTGCCGAGACCGAGGACCAGGACCTACGAAGAAAGGGGACGTCAGAGGCCTCGAGTGGGGACCCGAGGCGGGGAYTCCGACAGTCAAGTTAGTAGGGTGGAGTAAAGAGGGCAAACGAGGTCCGAGGAGTCTGGACGAGGTCGCCGAGGAGCTGGAGAGCTAGAATTGGGAATGCAGGTTCTGGATCAAGATCCCTTACCTTGGGGAAATGTCGCCCTATTTATACTTGAGGTCGCCTGATAGCAAACGCTACGGACGGTCAGGATGCGATCTTAGCCCTAGGCAGGAGGACATCCGAGAACCACCACATGTGGTCGTGCCATTGGTCCCGCATTGGACGCTGACCCCTGCCATGTACAATGCATTGGTTGGCTCTGAGCTCGCCCGCGTGTCAGTGCGCCAAAGGCCTGCCTAAAGCGCCTACATCATTTGCCCTCCACTCTCGAGGCCGTGGCGGAGGTCTTAGCTGAGGACCTCGGCTTCGGCCAAAGAGAGTGTCATTTTTTCTAGTGGGCACTGAGTGGCCTTCCATGGTGAGGACCTCGACTGAAACTGAGTTGGAGAGAGCGGTCTTTGGAAGAGGAAGTGTTGGTCCCGATTTCACAGTTGCTAAGGACAGCCTGGCTTGAGAGCATGGAGTCATCTGCAGCAGCCGAGGCCTCGTTAGAGCCGGTTGGGCCTGCGTAGACGTCGCCCTCAGCTTCGATGGGCTTCTGTTAGCCATTGTGCTGCTTCCGCTCCTTCAAGAGTTTACAGAGGGCCGAGGAGCACGGAGCCATTGGCCTCGGATCCAGAGAGCTCGGTACCGTGTTATCCACAGGTACGAGATGTGCGTGCCCCCCAGTCGTGTGCTTCAGATGAACTGATGAGTTTGTGAGTGGTGTGAGATGTAGACGATGAGTGGGTGTGTCATGGCCGTGCACGAAATGGGTCTCAGCGTGGAAGGTTTGGACCGTGTCGAGGTGGGCATTGGGTCGAAACTGTACGCGAGACAATGGTGGTGCTCCGAGCTAAAGGTCCGCCAAGGTGTAGCCGCTAAGGGGCCGAAGTGTAACAGCCGAGGTATGACCGTTGGGGTGTGACCGCCGAGGTGTGACTATTGGGGTGTGATCGCCAAGGTGTAACCATTAGGGTGTGACCGCCGAGGTGCGACCGTTCAGGTGTGACTGTCAGGGTGTAACCGCAGAGGTGTGACCGCTGAGGGCCGGATGTGTGACCAACGGGGTGTGACTGCCAAGGTGCGATCGTCGAGGTGTGACCATCAGGGTGTGACCAGTTGAGGTGCGACCATTGGGGTATGATCGCCAAGGTGTAACTGCCGAGGTGTGACCTGTTGAGGTGTTAACATGGTCGGCCGGAGAGTCGAGCTCTTATTGTTACATGGTTCGGCCTGCGGGTAAAGCCGAGACAAGGTGCTAATGACGGCTGGTTACGACAACTGCTATAGGGACGGGGCGATGAGATCGGTGTCAACATATTGCTTCCCGTCATTGTAGTCGTCACCGCAGTTTTCTTCTCACTAGTGGTCACCATGGTCGAGGTCGGCCCCTCCTCCTTGGTGCTCACCGGATGAGGCTTCTTCGGTGGCAATATACTTTTGTGCCTTATTCAAAAATTATGCCTTGGTTTTGGGCGGCGTTCCAGCGATAGTGCGTTTGAGGGCGAACCCGGGGAGGAGGCCATGGATTGCTACGTACATGGAGACCATGGGGTTCAGGTCGCGGACCTTCAATTCTTCTTTCTTGAAATGATCGATGTAGAACCGTAGGCTCTCGCCGTGTTGTTGCTAGACGGCCGTGGGTGAGATGATGCTTTTTTGGTGTTGTTGGCTACTGACGAAGTGGGCGAGGAAGAGATAGGCGAACTAGTCCTTGGAGCTGATGGAGCAGGGGAGGAGCCCGGAAAACCAGCACCGAGTTGCCCCCTTGAAGGTCACCTTGAAAGCTTGAGACATCAATGATTGGAATACCCGTACAGGAGCATGAGTGCGTGGAAGCTCTCCAGGTGCTCGTCTAGGTTCGAGGTGTAAGCTTCCAGTGTGGGAGCTTTGCGGAAGAGGTTCCGAGGTGATGGCGGCGAAGAAGGCATCCATCCTAGTGGAGGGGTGCTGGCTTGCCGAGGTGTTAGCTCGGCTCTCCTTGACTTGCCGAACTTCATCCTTCACCATGCCGAGCTATGCCCATAGGTCGGTGATCTGCTGGCCGAAGGATGGGGCCGACTACGTCTCGATTCCTTTCGGCTCATCGGTTGTGAGGTCGTACTGATTCGTTATCCCTTTGATCAGAAAGGTGGAGGGTCCTCGACGGCTGACCCACACTCCGATTGCTTCTACTGGACATTGAGAGGTCAGCCCGAGGGGGCCCGACAAGGCGTTTAACTGGTGGAGCCCTCGAAGGGCATCCACGACAATGCCCCCCCGACTTTCAGTGGGGCGACCTCCTRCTAACTGTCGCACCTTGTCCAGCTTCTGCGTGAGGTCGTCGAGCTGGTCGAGGACTGTTTGGAATTGGTCGCTGGTGACCAAATTCTGCTTAGTTTCCTTGCTCCTAGCCATTTCGTTGGAAGTTGAGTCATAGCGTTGGGGGAAAGACTTAGTAGTCGTTCCCACAGACGGCGCCAATTGTTGGTGCTCAGGATGGGTTGAGGACAACATAGTAAATTTACCTTGTCTCCCGGACAAGGTGGCTAAGAGGATCTGTGAACTGTTGAGGGCGAGGACCTGCTAAGCCCGAGGTGCGTTATGGCTGAGGGATGGTGAAGTCTGGTCGAGGACCAATGGGTTTCAAGGAAGGCCCAGGCCGTAGGCCGGTGGAGGCCGAGGGCTAGTGGGATCCGAGAAGTGCCGAGGCCGAGAACCAAGACCTATGAAGAAAGGGGGCGTCAGAGGTAGGGGTGGATTCGAGCCGAGCCGAGCCGAATAGTACTAGGCTTGAGATCGGC